TTTAACTTGGCCGTTTGAATAAATTGATGCTTAAAGCTCCTTTTTTTGCTGTGTTTTTTCGTGGTGGTGCAGATGTGGATCTCGAAGCAAGAGTACGATGAATCTGGTTCGACAATTGTTAACAGCAAGTGTTTCTAGGAAGGTGAGTATGTTTTGTTTTCTTCTTTATTAATAATGAGTAATCATCTCTTCTTTACGAGTTTGTAGGACTTGATGGATTTCTAAACATATTAATAAAGACAATGTTCGATTCCACTTTCTCCTGAAACCATTTTCGCCATTGATAAAAAGCTCTGAAAGTTCGAGCTCTAAAAATGATCAGTCCGCAGTGAATAATAAACCATCCGAGCTCACATTATCCATGCTTGAGAGAACCAATACACGCTCGACACGTACCCAATTATAACTAACACAAAAAGACGCAAGAAAATGCAAAACACGAGTCTTTAAGTGAAGGAATAAAATGTGAAAAATAAAGAGAGAAAATAAAGCGGAGAAACTAAGAAGCGACTTTTGTCAAGCCACGCCATGCCAATGTGAATACACGTCAGCGCGCCATGTCAACAGAGTTTTGATCGCAGCCCTTGAGCTCACCGAGTGAAATTTATTAAGGGCTCTGCTGTTACTGATGTTGTTTTCAAGAGTTAGATTTTATGTTATTTTTCTTAATCTTGTATGAATGTTTGGGGTAAAAGTGTGTAGTATTGTACCTCAAGCTCTCTGTATTATATTGCCAGCACCAAACTTTACCGTGTATATGCTACTGAACTGGGATGAAACATGGAGTTCTCTTTCGGTTTGTTTATCAGCATTGCTTATGTTGTAGAGGATAAAATGATGTTTTTGATCCTACTACATGGAATAGGTGTTAGTTGGAAAAACTTAAAGTATTCATTAATCATATTGTTTATGAATATTTAATATATTTTGCCACTTGTCTTATAGAATCATGTGTCCATAAATTATAAAATGTTGATTTTGACAATATTATAATGAAAAATAGTTGGGAAAAGATTAAACAAAAAACTCTCCCCCCATTTCCTCTCAACCCTAAATCCCCAAATCGCTCGTCTCCTTCCTTAGCTCCCGCTTAGGCCTCCTCTACAGCGTGATGCGCGGCGCCGCGCCGCTGCGCGATTGCGACTTCGGCATGTTATCTCGCCTGCCATCAATTCGTTGCCCTCTCGCCCGGTAGGGTTTTTGTCGGTCTTGCTTTTGGTTGTCCGCTCGGCCTGAGACGACACCGACATAGAGATAGTGGGATTGCGCGAGGTTTCTCTAATTGAGCACCGAGCGATGATCGGAGCCAAGGTTAGTTCATCTCCCCCATGTTCCCTCTGTCTTGGTGCTTAGGGTGGGCTCTTTCCCGTGGTGGGTGTGCAGTTCCGGTGGCGCGTCGACTTGAATTGTTGGTCGTTGAGGATTCGAGTTTAGAGATTGTGGTGTTCTGCTCCCTCCCCCTGCTCCCTCCCCCCTGGTTTTCCGTCTTTCCTGGGGTTGGGCGAAGGGCTCCGTTGGGACTGTAACCTAAGGCTTTTGGCTGCTGGTAGGGGTGGAGTTGTGCTTTGGGGCTGATCTCTAGTGTGCTAGTCCAAAGGTGGTCTACCTGTTTGAGATCACCATGGGTTTGGGGGGTTGGATCTTGTTAAGCTTTTATTGCAGTTTCAGGCTCGATGCCCTGCACTGAGTCTCAGTCCGTGGGGTTATAACTCTTGGCGGTTGGTTGCGTGGCGGCTTGTGGTGTTGCTTGTCGGCGATAGAGGAGAGCTTTAATTTAATACTCCCTCCTATCTTTTCTATTTGTCATTCTAGCAACTAGCACTCTAATTAAGAATTTTTGTTGTTGCCAATATTACCCCTATTTAATGAAAACTACTACTCCATTAAGTAACACAATTAATGATAATTAGTGTAAAAGGTAAATGAAGATTTGTGAAAAATCAAGAGAGAGCGAATATGAAAAGACATTGGAAATTAGATGGAGAGGTTAAAATTGGAAAAATATGAACAAAATAGCCAAAATGACATTTATTTATTCAATAGTCAATTAAGCTAAAATGACAAATAAAAAAAGATAGGAGGGAGTAGTTATTTTTGTAGGTTTGTTTGTGTTTAGTCTAGAAATGAGTTCAAATGACCTTCCCCAAACCAAAAATTGTGTAAGTAACATTTGACCAAAAATCTATTTAAAACATAATTTAAAAACCCACAAAAATAGGAAAAAAGACATTTATAACCTTAACTCCTATTTTAAAGAAAAAACTCTAAAAAATCAGCAAAAAATAAGCTAAAAATGCTTAAAATCCAAATATTTGAGAAATGAGTAAAATAAATAATACCCCTCTTTGGGAAAATATTGAAAAAATATGAAATAATCAAGAATTGATTCTTGAAAGACTTGAAAAAACGAGTAGAAATATCGAATTTCTTGATACTTTACTATCAGAAATTCTTGACATTGCAGCAAAAGCTGACAAAATTATTGAAAATATTAACAAAATAAACGTAAATAGGTTAGAAGAAACTTTAATAAAATTAGACGAGAAAATCCCTCAAATTGAACCATTAATGGAAAATTTAAGCAAAGTAATTTTACTTGTCAATCAAATTGGAAAAGAATTAGGATTAAATGGCTAAAAGTCCTGAAGTAGGAAATGTACAACAAATACTAACGATAGTTAGTGAAATAAAAGAAGTTGTTCTAAGAATAGAGCAAAATATACAACAGTCTGATTCTAGTAACCAAGACACCAAATTATTAGAAATTGAAAGAGTTTTATGAAATATTAAATAAAATAAGTCTATACCAACATATAGACCACCAAATGAATGAGATCTTAGTAATTTGTTTAAAAACAGAAGAAAAAGATTACCTGGAGAAAAATGAATAGTGATACTGATTCTACTCAAAGTGAAACTGATATTCAGTCTCTATTAGAAAAATATCCGAATATATTATCCTTAAAAGAATTCGTTGGAAATTACAGCGACTCTAGTTCAGAAAGTGAAAATCTAGAACCAAAAAATTGTATAAATGTTAAAATTGAAGAAGATCTTAAAGATATTCCTCGAGGACCAAGCAATTATCAAGACTCTCATGAGTTTATGGCTCCTGAAGAATACATAAACGATGAGTTCTATAATCAAAATGCAGATAGGTACTTTGGAGTATCTGATGAAAAAAAACATTCCCAGAAATAAATATTCCAAGAATGATGAATATGAATCGAAGTAAGGCAAAACCTTACAAGAAAAATAAAACAAAGAGGTTATATTCTGAAGGAATTTATTCCTAAAGATAATTCTAATAATCATAGTGATAACATACTCAATCTAGATTGTTTGACAAAACCAGTTGGAACAATAAAAGGTTGGTATAATTATATGTTAGTAGTAATACAAACTAATCTTGAAGCATTTGAAGATCTAAGAACATTAAAAACATATTTAGAACTTCATATGAAGGGAAATGTTAAAAACTGGTGGGATTCAAACCCATATATTTCAAGCCTTGATGCTCTTTGGAATAAACCAGACGTTAACATAGAATATCTAAATGCTCTGGCTAAACTACTCGTTAATGCATTTGTAGGAGTCAGAGAATTAGATAATACAAATGTAGCGTTAGAAGAAAGATAGAAAAAAACAAAGTTCATACTTGACAATATTCAAATATGTGATATTTGTTATTGGAAAAATTTTACATGTGAATATGAAAAATGGTATTACTTGTTAAAACAAGAAGATAGACCAGCAT